TTAGGAGGCCCACGCAGCCAGGTGCTGGAGGTCCGGGTCCTCTCCGCCTGCCCGCCGGGACGGGGCTGGGACAGAAAGCGGGTGGGAGTTAGTAACTGGTGACAGTCGCACGCTGGCACAGAAAGCGGGTGGGAGTTAGGCACAGAAAGGGGTATACTCAGGGAATAGAAGTGAGTGCGGGCAGGGACCCGGGTCAGGCTCCTATGTTAGGTCGTGGAGGAAGGGACACACCTGCTCGGGGCCGGGGGGCCGTGCCCGCGGGGCCAGGCGTTCGGACCGGCTGTGCTGGGAGGGAGGAGGAAGGCACGCTGGGAAGCCGGATGTTTGTCATCTTCTTATTTAATTCTTCCTGCTCCAGTTCTTCCAGTTCCGCCAGAAGCTCATCCTGAACACGGGAGGAGGGAAGAATTACGAGTTTGTGTTTCAAGCCACGGGCTTCCTCAAACACAATAGCAAGAACATCTGCTGCCCCATTGAAATGTGAGAGCCCAGTGAGACGGAAGAGTTATTTAAGACTAAGGCTCCTTTTGCAACACTGAGCAATGATTTAAAAAAAAATGAATATTTGGGGTTGTGCAAATTTGTCGTAGCTAATCTTACAATACTGGTTATGCAAGTAATGTGTGCAGGTGGAATATAAAGCCTCCAGTTTCCAGGGAATTCACACCTCGCCTGTCCATCTCCAATGCAGCTTTTCCTTTCTACTGTGAAAAATGAAGAATTTGTGAAACCTGCCGAAACCGGTTTGGCTCAGTGGATAGAGCATCAGCCTGCAGACTGAAGGATTCCAGGTTCGATTGCGGTCAAGGGCATGCACCTTGGTTGCAGGCACATCCCCAGTAGGGGTGTGCAAGAGGCAGCTAATTGATGATTCTCTCTCAATGTTTCTAACTCTATCCTTCTCTCTTCCTCTCTGTAAAAAAAAAAAAAAAAAAAAAAAAAAAAAAAAAAAAAAAATCAATAAAATATATTTTTTAAAAGAATTTGTGAAACCTTTCACTTGGGTTAATATTATTAAAAATAAGCAACAGGTATAGGAAAAGCATACGTGCAGCAGGTAAAAAGAATCAAAAGTTACAGGATTCTTTGTTAAATGACTAAAGCCGATAGGTGCTGGGTTAAGCAAACTTCACCCCGAGGCAGGCGCCCTGCCTTTCCTTCTGTTAGTAATAGCCTCAGAGCGGCCAGCTCAATCCTGAGCCACTCTCTGTCCCAAGAACCTTGGATTCGCAAAACTCTTGGGAGACTGAGCGTAAGTCAACCACATCAGGGAGGAGGTGATCTGTGGCTGTCCAGTCACCTGGCTCCAGTGTCCTCCGACAGACCCAGCCCCTGACAGGCTGAGAGGCTGAGTTAATTTGTCCCCATTAGAATTCTGAGCTTGTTCCCATTAAAAATGATCCAAGACAGTCTCATATCCAACCAAAGGAAGTCTTCATTTACTGATCCATTCAGCACTGAACAAACTGATTGTGAGTGACTCCTGGCCAGGTATTGAACTCACAGCTGGGGATGCGACGTTCAACCAGGAGTTCCTACCTTGAAGGAGCTTGTTAAATGTGGGAGGAAGGCCCATAAACAGACAATTATCCTGCATTAAAGTGAGGGATAATGCTGGGGGCCACAGAGGAGATACTGAAGGCAACCGAACATTTGAGGATGCTGGTGTGCGTCAGACCAGAAGCAAGCTGACCACGGCGGGGGTGCTTGTGGAAAGGAAGCGAAGCAGGAACGTGTGGGGTGGGGTGGCCAGCGGAGCTGTGTGGGTGTGGCTCTCCGCAGGCATTGTGAATAGAGTGCCTTCGGAATGAATACTCTCCTGTCCTGTTTCTCTCTCAAAGCAATCAGGGGCAAGTACAGCACATGCGGTCACAGGGAACCCAGCGGAGAACGTGCCCAGAATCGCCTACAGCAGGTACCAACGGCACCACCAAGACACTGCCGTTTCCTCAGCAATGGGCGACAGAATCACCTCCTCCTCCCCATTTCCAGACGGCAGGTACCGCCGTGTCCCTTCAGGGATGGAAGGTTGAGTAGTAACCAATGTCCGAGCCCCAGTTCGGGAGCCGGAGCCTAAGGAGGCCTGTTCGTCTCCCCAGGGTGGGCAAGCTCTCTCCAGCATGGTCTCTGCCATGGCCTCTGTGCAGCCTTCTCTGCTGCTGCTGTTCCAGGTGCTGCTGGTTCCTGCAGTCCTTCATCATGCAGACACCATCCTCGGTGCTCGGGGCTCACCAACACCGGCCGAGGGAAGGATCTGGCCGGAAAGCCAACTTTTCCCAACTGCTAGCTACACGGTTTCTCAGTCCTGTGGAGCCACACCTTCTTAGCACACGCTTCGTGTTTACACCAGGAGGTGCGGGAAGCCAGGCCTTCGCTGTGTACTCTGAGGACGGAGCGGTCCCAGCTCTGTGCTGGTGTGTGCTGGCGTGTGCTGGAGCAGAGCCAGGTGGTCTCAGCCCCACCTCCCACCCGGGAGGGTCTCACTTCGCTGATGAGCCCACATGGGCCGTGTGCTCCCAATGCCCGTCCACGTCCATGTGCTCCCAATGCCCGTCCACATCCATGTGCTCCTAACGCCCATCCACGTCCATGTGCTCCTAACGCCCATCCACCTTCATGTGCTCCTAACGCTCGTCCACGTCCATGTGCTCCTAACGCCCGTCCACGTCTATGTGCTCCCAACGCCCGTCCACGTCCATGTGCTCCTAACGCCCGTCCACATCCATGTGCTCCCAATGCCCGTCCATGTCCATGTGCTCCCAATGCCCGTCCACGTCCACGTCTATGTGCTCCTAACGCCCGTCCACGTCTATGTGCTCCCAACGCCCGTCCACGTCCATGTGTTCCCAACGCCCGTCCACGTCCATGTGCTCCTAACGCCCATCCACGTCTATGTGCTCCCAATGCCCGTCCACGTCCACGTCTATGTGCTCCCAACGCCCGTCCACGTCCATGTGCTCCTAACGCCCATCCACGTCCATGTGCTCCTAACGCCCATCTACGTCCATGTGCTCCTAACGCCCGTCCACCTTCATGTGCTCCCAATGCCCGTCCACGTCCATGTGTTCCAAATGCCCGTCCACGTCCATGTGCTCCTAACGTCCGTCCATCTTCATGTGCTCCTAACGCCCGTCCACGTCCATGTGCTCCTAACGCCCGTCCACGACCATGTGCTCCTAACGCCTGTCCACCTTCATGAGTTCCAAATGCCCGTCCACGTCCATGTGCTCCTAACGCCTGTCCACGTCCATGTGCTCCCAATGCCCATCCACGTCCATGTGCTCCTAACGCCCGTCCACGTCCATGTGCTCCTAACACCTGTCCACGTCCATGTGCTCCCAATGCCTGTCCACGTCCATGCGTTTCACACTGAGGAGCGAGGGGAGGGAACTCCCCTCCAGTGTCCTAGCCACACGCGTGCTATGGGCCTCGTCTGCCCAGATGCAGGCGCCAGCCCTCCAACGGGCTAGTTCGGCGCCGCCAGAGTCTCACATCACAGAACCACGGGCTGTTCTTCCTTCACAGCTAGAAACCCGTCTGCCAAGCGCTATTAATCTTCCTTTAAGTCAGAGCTACCAACACTTCATTTCCCTCTTAAGTAGGTTCCTATCAAGTATCACTTATCCTTTGATGAGACTAAGGAAGTAAGCCGTCTGCTGTGGACGGTGGGAGCTGCCCTGCCCAGTAGCCAAGCTCTCCACTCCCCTCTCTCCCACCCCCCTCACCCCCCGTGCGCTCTGTCATCCCATCCTTCACACGTGCTGCCCACCTCATCGAAGTCCTCGCCGAGTCCAGCACGCTGAGAAATCGCCTCGGAGATTTCTTGGGCGACATCCTGCTGCTCCGTGATTTCTTGCATCAAATCGTCTATTTTGTTCAAATCCCTGGGGAAGTATATTCGGTGGAAACGTTTTAGAATCTCACTCTACGATTAAGCATTTAGTTAGATATACTCCCATGTGAAAAAACATGAGTCAAGTTAATATAAACTCCTAGTTATTCCTGTAGGGTAACAAAAATGATATGTATCAACTTTAAAAAATAATTTGCAGCCAAAACCGGTTTGGCTCAATGGATAGAGCGTCGGCTTGGGGACTGAAGGGCCCCGGGTTCGATTCCGGTCAAGGGCAAGTACCTTGGTTGCGGGCATATCCCCAGTAGGGGTTGTGCAAGAAGCAGCTGATCGATGACTCTCTCTCATCGATGTTTCTAACTCTCTATCTCTCTCCCTTCCTCTCTGTACAAAATCAATAAAATATATTAAAAATAATAATAATAATTTGCATTTCAAAAAAAATAACTCTGCATAAGCACAGACATTTTAAATACTAAGGAAACAGCCATCACATTTGGGAGTCACGAATGAGCAGGTTATTTTATAACGTACAGTATTTGTAGACCCAGGTTGAAACTTTGTCTGGCAGGGCATGTGTAAACTTTAAATAATATGTGCTTCTCTGTGTCACCTCTGCAAGAAATGGGGTGCCACATGACTGAGACCGAGCTCTCAGCCGCCCCACCTCCCAGCAGCCCCCAGGCCAGCTCTGAGCCCAGAGGACCGTCTGCCAGACGTCTGGCAGCTCTGCCATCCTGACCCCCGAGGGCAGCACAGCCTGGCTGCCCTGAGGAGTCAGAGGGAGGGCAGCGCAGGCCTGGGAAGCCCTCAGAACCCGCCCCTGCTGCTCGGGGTGCAGCGCCACAGGCCCCAGCGGGCAGCTGCCTCAAAGACCCTGAGCCCCCGGCCCCCCACCACCGACCTGAGAGCCAGGGCCCAGTGCCCAGCTCTGACTGCGCTCTCGGACCCTGTAACCGAGTTACCCCTCCAGCTGTGAAGTCGCCAGTCCGAACTGAGTGGACGCCAGGAAAGTGGGCTCCTCACTGGGATGTTGATTCCCAGTGAGATAAACCTTTTGAATGTTTCTCAGACTCTGCACATGGAAAGCGCTGAGTGTTCTGACATATTTCCACAAAGTAAGTAAAAACACACTTACTGTTCTGCTTCTGCCCCTTATTCCCAGTTCTTTCTATAGCAAACACGTGGGGAACCTATGTCAGAAAGGGCGTGTGGGGTGCGGTGCAGGGCCGAGCACAGGGGCTGAGGTGCCGAGCCCCCTGCGATGCGGTGCACAGTTGGCACCGTTAGCAGCCGCCGCAGGGGTTCGGACTGGCAGTGGGGGGGGTGGCTTGCTGAAGCCGTCAAATCGGTGGCCCCTCGGGAACGGCTGCATCGGCCGGCGCTCGCCGCTCTCAGGCGTGGGGCTCAGGCCTCACTGTCACGTCTACTCAGCAAGGTTAGTCCCAGGCACTGACTCCCGTGCCAATGGACAGCAACCTGCCGCCAGCCCCACTGCCACGCTGACTGTGATTAGGGATGGCTTACTTCCTACCAGGGACTAAGCACTGGATATCTGGTATCTTATTGAATCTCACAATAACCATAAGGCAGTGGTCGGCAAACCCAGTCAACAGAGCCAAATATCAACAGTACAACAATTGAAATTTCTTTTTGAGAGCCAAATTTTTTAAACTTAAACTTCTTCTAATGCCATTTCTTCACATTAGACTCACCCAGGCCATGGTATTTTGTGGAAGAGCCACACTCAAGGGGCCAAAGAGCCACATGTGGCTCGGAGCCGCAGTTTGCCAACCATAGCCATAAGGAGTAGCATTGTCCCTGATTCACAGGCAAAGAAAGGGAATATAGGGGAGACAGAGTAACTTGCCCGGGACAGTCAGCAGGGGAACTGGGACCCTCACTCGGAAAGTCGGAGCCCCACACCATGACTCTGTGTTGGTTAGTGTCAGGGTGGCTTGGTGCACCTGCTCAGAGCAGAAGGCCCAGAAGCCTGGCACCGGCGTTCTCGTCAGCGCTTTCTGGGTGACCCGGAATGCCACGAGGGTGACCACCACCGACCTGTGTCTAACAGTGCCAGCTGCTGACTCTAAGCCTCTGATTTATTAATGAAAAGTCACCGGAGGAGCGTCAGACAACAGGGAGGCGACTGGGAAATCTAATGGACGGGATGAAGGTCCTTCTCGTTGTCATGGCCATGCAGTTTTGTTTGGTTCTGTTTTGTTTTCTACCGCTGGGACTTCCAATCTCTCTCGGAAGGACCATCCATTCTGACGTGCCCAAGAGCCTTCACAGGACAGGCCGCCCCTGCCGGATCCCCATCTGGCTCTCCCCACACTGCGGGCGCGGGACGGAGCGGGGCGTGGGGCGCGGAGGGCGCACTCACGTGTCCGCGTGGGCCGCCTGCATGGCCCGGGCCGCCAGGCCCATGCTCCGCAGCACCTCGGTGTTGGTGTGCGCGTTCTCCAGGGCCTCCCGCTGGAACTCCACGGTGGACAGGGTGCCGTCGATCTGCGACAGCTGCTTCTCCAGCCGCTTCTTCCTCTTCAGCGCCTGCAGCGCAGCTAAACAGGGGAGAAGCCACGCTCAGGAGAGCCCCGGCACTTCCTCCAGAGGCTTTCGGCAGCACCAGCGGGGACTGGCACTGTTGGCACCTACCGGCAGGAGACAACCAGAGGGGTGGAGAAACTCGGGGTGCAAGTGCCCCTCCAGTGCCTGCGCCAAGGGCCTCCCCTCACACATTCTCAATGTTACTCTTTTCTTCCCAAGACGGGCAAGTGTCAGAGGGTGAAAAGTCCATTTTCACATTCCATAAAATAGACCACAGACATTGGATTTTAAAAAATAAAGTGGATAGAGCGTCGGCCTGTGGACTGAAAAGGTCCCAGATTTGATTCTGATCAAGAGCATGTACCTTGGTTGTAGGCACATCCCCAGTAAGGGGTGTGCAAGAGGCAGCTGGTCAGTGTTTCTCTCTCATCGATGTTTCTAGCTCTCTATCCCTCTCCCTTCCTCTCTGTAAAAAATCAATAAAATATATACTTTTTAAAAACACAAAAAAGAAATGAGAGAGAGAGAGAGAGAGAGAGAGAGAGAGAGAGAGAGAGAGAGAAAACACAAAGAATGGGCATAGAAATCATGCAATCCTATATAATAAAAGGCTAATATGCAAATTGTCCCCTCGACAGGGAGTTCTACCAGTTCAACCAGGAGTTCAACCAGGGGCCGGGGCCAGAAGCCAACCACCCGGCCTGATTGGCCCGGATCAGGGTGGGCCAGCTGGACACCAACCACGCACAAATTCGTGCAGCAGGCTCTAGTAAAGAAATAAAACTGAAAAGGAAGAAAGAACTTTGACGACTGTTTATTCTAGCCCTGCTTCCTGTTTCAAAGACAAGTTCATGGGGACCTAAAGAAGTGGCGTGGCTTGCTCAGAGTTAAACATGAGTGGCTGACCCATACCCAGGGTGTGGAGCTGCCGTCTGGGTCTGAAATGGTTATGAGATGGCAGTAAGGTTACAAGGAACATGAGCCCCATGAAATCCTAGAGTCTCACTCGAGGATTAGCTGGCATATTGGTGAGCGGAAAGAGTGTTGCCCTCAGACAAAGAATCCGTACATATCTTGCCATTAGCATTTTAACAAATAACCTTATCAGCTCCATTCAGAAATCACAAAACTAAGAGTTCTTTTGACTATGCAACTTGGAAGGCACCCAAAAACAGGCCCTAAAATGTGAGTTGTGATAAGACATTTGGAGAGAGTGCAGGGAAAGCATGGCCAGGGTATGTTACCATGAAGATAATTAAATGAAATTGGCAAAAGAACTCAAGGATTAATGGTTTTGGAGTGAAATATGTAAATTATTGCATCAGATTTCTGAGGGAAGGCTCTAACTCAGTTTTGATCAGTTTTTTTCTTGGAATTACAATAGGTTTGGTTTATCTATTCCAATGCTTTTTGTTTGGTGCACATAGTCATTATACTTGTTCAGTTTTATTGGTGATCAATATGAAATATTGCTCTGACCAGGTAGAGCACTATCCCTATGTTAAGGTCGAAGTTTGTCCCAGGTCAAAACACATACAAGAATTAACCCATGAATGCATAAATAAATGGAACAACAAATCTCTCTTTCTATCTACCTTATCTCTCTCTCTCTCTTTCAAATCAAAAAATATTTTTAAAATGTAAAGAAGTATCACTCTCTGTTCCATTCTTTTTGCCTTAAAGTATATTTTGTTTTATATTTAAATCAACCTTTTAGGTTTCTTTCTGTTACAATTTGCCTCTAATAATTTTTATGGGGGCCTCTATTTCAAAAGTGTTTTATATTTGGCTCTTTCTGTAAACTTATTGCAGTTGGCATATTTGTGTGACTGTTTTTAACCCAGATAGTCTATCTTTTAATGTAAGATTTTAACTTATTTATTGTTATAACTGATATATTATCTAATATAGTCTTTTTTACTGTCATCCTTTTGGTGTGTTTTTTGTTTTGTTTTGTTTTTCTTTTTGTCTGTCTTTATGTAAATTGGTCAAATTTTCTTTGTACATTTTCCCCCTTTAATTTGTTGCATAGTTACATATACTGAATTTATTCTTCAAATAAATATCCTTGTATTAAAATATACACATATAATTAAAATTAAGTTTTTAGTCCATGTTAAAAATTATGTATATAAAAGCCTAAGCGACCGAACGACCTGTCAACCAGTCACTATGATGAGCACTGACCACCAGGGGGCAGACGCTCACTGCAGGAGCTGCCCCCTGTGGTTAGTGCTCTGTCACAGCAGAAGTGCTGCTCAGTTGACTGATGGGCCCCAGAGGCAGGGCTCAGAGCTGGTGAGTGCCTCTGTGACTGCGCAAGTCTCTCCCTATTGGGACTGACTGGGTGCAACCCAGCAGACGGAGTGGGGCCGGGATGTGTGGAGCAGCCGGTGATGTTGGACAGCTGGTTTTGGCTCGATTCCCACAGGCCCTGCCAAGTGGGAATCGAGCCAAAACCAGAGGCCTGGGATCCACTGGTGCATGGATCCCAGGCCTCTAGTTAGTATTATATATAATTTATTGTTCTCAAAAAGGTTCCTTTCCCCCAAAACCTTCCTATGTCTGATTAAAATAACCTGCAATGTTATTAGTCCCAGCAGATCACTAGTTATTTATTATCTTTTTAATTTTAAAGGAAACTTTTCTAAGCAATTGTATTAAGCTTGGTAGGCAGAATTTCAAAAGTTATTTGCACTCAACTATAGTGTTTGCATGGCTGATTTTCTTACTATTGCTTTTGTTTCCTATATCATGTTTTCTTGGATTTTTCTCTCTCTCTCTCTTTTTTTTTTTTTTTTTTACCAAAATAACTCCTGAAGTGTTTTTGTTTTTGTTTTGTTTTTAGAAAGGGTGCATAGATTCTCTAAACTCCTATAAGACTAAAAATGTCTTCATTTTGTTTCAAATTTGAATGATGATAGTTTGAACATTTACAGAATTCTAGGTTCAGAATATTTTTTAAATTTTATGACATATGGGTTGCTGAAGGATGCCCAGGACCAAACCAGAGATGGGTGGACCTGCATTACCACCATTTGTCCACCAACAAGATCTGAAATATCATGGCTGGCATGTCATGTACACATAAGAAACTATCTGGCATTGAAATTGAAACTCTAAAGAACTGTTGGCCCAGAAAGGAACTCACTACAAACTGATTCATTTGCCTCTCAGCATAACCATTATGGCTTGTTGCAGTTTAGGTTCTTACAAGGGTATTTCCTGGATCACATGATCTCACACATAGAGGAAATAATGAACAACATAAACAGACCCAGAGAAAGTGAACCAGCGATCAGACTCTCAAACCTCAGAGGGAAAGTAAGAGAGGATGGGGGTAAGGGGAAGAGATCAACCAAAGGACTTGTGTGCATACATATGGGCCTAGCCAGTGGCCATGGACAACAGGGGTTGGAGGGGAGAGGGGTTTGGGATGGGAATGGGGGAATAAGGACAATTATGTGAGACCATAATCAATCAATCAATCAATCAATAAAATAAAGTAAAAAAAAAATTTATGACATATTCTATTATCACTGAGTATCCTGTATTTCAAAAGTTTAATACTATAATAATATTCTGCTCATCTCTTTGTATATAAAAAAAAAAAAAAAAAAAAAAAAAAAAAAAAAAAAAAACAAACCAAGAAAAACAATTTGCTTGGTTCATCTCTGGAAACGTTTAAGATTTTCTTCTTTACTTTGTAGTTAGGAAATTGCATAAGTATAGGTTTAGGCATTTGCCTTTTTTTTCCCTTTACCTAAGTAAACATTCATTCATATTTTTATTCTGACGAGTCAAATCTTCCTTCATCTTATGGAAACTACATTCTTTACTAGTGGCCTGGTGCACAAAATTCGTGCACATTAAAAGGGAATGAATTAGAGGAAATACTTTAATATTGCTATTTGCCCTTTATAACAGAAGTGTTAGAGATTAAAGAAAATTAGTAAAATATATATGAAAATCTTCCTTCTGTCATTGAGTCTGGGTGTGCCATGGGACCCAGAGTCAAATCAATCCCCCCCCTCCATGCCTCGAAATTATGTGAGACCAAGACCAGTTGGCCCCTCCCCCATTAAGCCCCGCCAGGGGGAGGGGGTATAGCCTCAGGTCCCTCCTCAAGCCCCGCCAGGCGAAGGGCACATAGCCTGAGGTCCCCGAGCCCGGTGCCAGGGCAGGGGGCAAGCCAGAGGTTCTCTGGCCCAGACCAGGGCAGGAGGCGCACCTTGAAGCCCCCCGTCAAGCCCTGCTGGGCAGGGGGCTGAGGTCCCTGTCAAGCTTCATCAGGTGAGTGTGCGGCCTGAGGTCTCCAGCCTGGCACCAGGGGGTGGGGGGCCACAGCGTGAGGTCTCGCCCCAGCAGGCGGAGAGCGCGGCCTCAGGTCTCCTGCCCCAACCGGGCGCCACACAGCCCAGTCCCTGCTGCTCACTCATCACAGGAACCCGCCTCTGCTTTGGGCACAGCCAACTTGTGACAGCATGAGAGTTAATTTGCATATTACCTCTTTACTACATGGGATGATTTTTTTTATTCTTTCCCTTCCATTAATTCTACTTTCTTCTGAAATCCCTATTTATTTTCATATTATTATCCACACCATGACTCTACCCAAACCATTCTTTCTGTTTCTCTCTTGAAATCCCTGTACAGTGGATGCTAGATTCCTTGGATCTCATCCTCGGTCTATTAACATCTCTTTTTGTTCTGTGTCCTCGGATAATTCCGGAACTTTATATTCCAGATCACTAACTAGTCCTCAGCTCTAATTATTTTTCTTTTACCCTATTTATTTTTAATTGTTTTAAATGTCTAAGAACTTTTTCTTCTAGCTGTTCATTTATTTGGCAGCCATTCCTGTCTTATAACACCATGGCCTCTGGATCCTCCCTGAAGATACTAATATGCGTTTTGTTTTTGACGTTTTTAAATTTTCTTCCGTATCTTCCTTCTATTGGGTTCAGCTGTTTGCTTTGCGTACCTTGATGTTTCTCTTTATGCGGTGACCTTT